ACACCTAATGTTGGGGCCTCAGAAAGACGCAGTACGAGGTAACTGCTCCCATAGTCTTCCACAATCCTTGAGCCAGGAAGGCTTTCTGTTGGAGTTGGAATGCGATTGAAAAGGGCTCGGAGGCTTGAGTACCTTAGTCTAGTGTCCATGTAATACACCATAGACTCAACTGGAGGGATTTTTGAGTTGCTAATATTTTAGAGGTATCTAGGACTTCAGGTTTTAAGGGGTAAAACAATGAACAACGTTGCGAAACCCTAGAATTCTAACCATAAAATTGAGGTTTGAAGTGGTATCTATAGTGTCTAGGGCTTGTATCTGACTCATTCTCACCTAATGCATTTAAAAACCCCATAAAAAAAGCGTGTGTTTGACTTGACCAAGTGGCAGCTCAATCCGAGCCATCCATATACCTATGATGTGAATCACATACTTGATGATGAGCTTTGTGTCTCTAACAGTGTGCTTTGCGGGGGAATGGGGGTAAGGTCGTGGTGGTAGCACTCATACTTTAGTCATTACGTTGTGGTTTCCATTCTCACTACTATCACCACCTTATTAACACCTTCAAAAAAGTAATCCCTAATCTACTTGAAAAAATGGGTAAGGCTTGTCTTTCCAACTAAATTACCCCAAAAAAAAAAATTGCGCTTTGCGGTGTTCATGGGTGGTGGGCCCGGATTGAGATGGTTCCTTCTCCTACTTCTTTTTTGGTTGTTTCTTGGGATTTTGAGGCATTTTTTTGGGTTTTTGGTACTTGTTTATTATATAATTTTATTTTAAGAGCTTTTTGATTATTATTATTTTTATTCATTTTAAAAGAGTTACCAGGTCAAACATAGGGTTTGGGCAATTAGGAGAGTGGCTAAATCGTGATCATGTTGGAGGTCTCCTAATTTATGTTTGGCTTTCGTTTAGAAGGTTTAGAGTTGGTTACTGGGAAGTTCTTTAACCTAATTTCAGAAGTTTTTACTAATGATCTGGGCTAATTTTTAAAGTCTTCGTCCACTAAGTCGGTTTAAGGCTATCTAATTAGGGTTTCACTAAGGGTCTTCTTATTGTATTTTTAGTTGTTTTTTAGAGTGCATGGAGTATGGGATGTAGTGCTGTATGGATTAATAGGCTTGTATGGTCCATTGTGTAGTTTAGGGTAGGAAAAGGATATTTTAGGTGGACAAAAACCGGGTTTTAGGTCCCGGGTAGGTCTAGGAATGTGGCTAGGTGTGAACCCTAGAGCTTACGGTTGTGGTTACCTAGAAACTCCCTTAGCCAAAGTAGGCTGTCTAAATAGGCACATCCGAAGTGCAAAACATTTTCCAATTTGAATGTATAAGTAGTTGTGAAAACATAAACTTCTTGTTTTTGGCTTCTTCATAGAAAAACAGGTGTCGTGGATTTTATGGAAGGGTTCTGAGACTCGGGTAGAGCCACTTGGACTCGGCCGGGTAGTTTTGGGGAGTAGGCTGCACGACAGTTTTTCAAAGTTTAATTATATTAATACGTCAAGTTTAAGTCAAATGTCCTTGAATGGCTTTACAACTAGTCCTCCTGCTTTTCTTCTAATGTGGTCGGTGCTCAAATCCAATTTTTTTATATGATGGGAACAAAATTCGAATCCCATAGGTAATGGGAACAAAATTCGAATTCCACTGGAGAACAAAATGTAGACTGCTAAGAATGGAAGTCAAAACATCTTGTAAAGAAGTCCACTTGCTACTTGCTTCATTAAAGTGGTGCTCATATTATAATATATCAATTTTTTCTTTTTATTTTCTTTAAAAGAAAAGATGAGCAGGACTCGGACGAGGTATTTGGACACACCCAAGTAACTTGTCTTGGCTAAAGTCCCAGTACCTTGGCCGAGTCGATTTTTTATACCCTGCTTTATGATTTATTTCTTCTACGCATCAAAAGTAATGCAAAGAATTCAAAAGAGAAGGGTAGATATAACCTGTAGCAACTTAAGTAATGAAAGTTTCATATTCAATACTTAAGCCGATGAGTGTGTGGATGGCCAAATCTAAATTTGGAACTAGATCTTGTGCTCCTGCAAGTGCAACTGCAATAGATTTGACTTTTTTTAGATAATAACTCATGGATTGTTCATAGTTCGTAGCTCATAATGAAGTTGGAGAATATGTGTCTTTGGGTGGGGATGTTAAAAAACAGTTTAGTTTGTTCTATAATTTTTTCACACAACAACTTGTGCCAAGACAGGGTCCATTAAGGTTGAGTTAATCCCACTCAAAACAAACAAAAGCCAAGTTAAGTAATCTGGATGATTTTTAGTTTCTATTACGTTCTTCGCATTTGAGAAGCTTCATCGAGCCGGGTGAGAGTCGTATACAAATTTGTTGAGATTCTGACTACTTAGGATAGGCACAATCTGAGGTTTCCATAGCGGAAATAGTGAACTTCGCTGATAAAAGATAACCTGTGAATTGAAGCTACCTCCGATCGTGGATGAAGGAACAAGGCCCTTATTGCTCTGATACCATACCAGAAAAATGTCTTGTGTTCCTTCTTGAACATATGAAGTTTTCATTAAACAGAAGTGTCCCTATGACTCTTACATGTGGTTGTGATTAATGGTTACAATGGATGAGCCATGAGGATGTTACAGCTTCTTTCAGGACATCTTTATTTTTTACATTATTTTGGTTTTTCTATCTACAGTTAGAGAACAAAACCAATATATAATCCTGTCCGGATGGATCACAACTCGAGGGCACACACAAGTATAGCTCAGCTCAAGGTTAATTCAAGGTTTTGGGCATCCAAAAGCACTCTATAACTCCAGCTAATCCACCCGAAAAATGAGAAATGCATAATGCCATGAGGTAACATGAAAGAAATAAGAGATAAGGAAGTACTTCAAAATACATTGGAAATCTATTTCAGAGCCACGCAAAAGTTACAATAAGAACAAAGCACAGAAATACAGCCGACTTAGGACCGAAATATTTGAACATATTAAGAGGAAGACTGAAAAGACACCTACAACCATAGAGGGATTTCATGTTTTGAATCTTGATAACAACCTCAATGTTTACTCCTTTAGACATGAGGCTTGCGCTCCTCTCCTAACTTGAAGTCAGTTATTTGAATTGCAGTCTTTGTCTTGTCAAGATTGCTGACCCTCCTCGACATGAAGAAATCTCCCCACTTGTATTCTTTGAATAGGCTTAACCATCACATGATATGAAGGTGAAGCTACAGTGACCATCGAGAACCTCTCTTTCTCCGAGTTTACGACAACTCTAGGCACGATGCACTCATATTAGTCGTTGCTCCAAACCTGTTAAAATGTATATAAGATCAGTGTAATTTTGTAGTCCAAACACAATGAAAATAGTTGAAGAAAGCTCATTGGCATAATTTAGAGGTGGAAAAGTTTATAATTCCAAACAATCCTTAACATGTTTTTATGTTTAAGTGTTAATTGTGCATACTTAAAGATAAAAAATAACCCACATGTATATGTTATACATAGAGATGGGATATGTTTGATTATTCCTTCACACGGAGTATTGTCTTAAATTACTCAACACTCATTGGACATTTACTCTTTTTCTGTGATACAAAAGATTTTCAAGTAAGGGCACTTATTTTTATTAGTAAGGGGTAGAATAAATATTTTTTTATGAATAGAACAACATTTTATCATAATCTGACTGATTAATACTTTGTGAGTAACATCGCAAGTAATGAAGCTGTTATGCATCCCAAGTGGGGTGCTGTCCAGGATAGTTAATAAAACAACTCCGTACCACAAAAATTTCTTCTTACCCTTAATTAGTTACCTAAAACGCTACTAAATTAAATTTGTTCCATTGTACATTAAGATATCAAGTATCCAAAATATTGAATAGGCTAAGAATAAACTCCATAAAAGGGAACAACCAAACAAGATCCAAAATAGATATTCACATATATTTATAAGAGCTACTTCTATAATTATGTTAATTTCACGCTTAAAGTATAGTTTTACATGTAAGGGTTATATTAAGGTACTTATACATATTAACTTAATCTATTCACTATTTTTTGACACTCAATACTCTTACTCCACATAGTAACCTTTTTGCCTAGGGGTATTTTAGGTTATTAAACATAAGTAAAATCGAACTTTTAGATAAAAATAAGAGCATTTATTACTTATAGTGCAGGATGACATCACCCACATGGAGCAATGATTGTTTTTTTACCAGCAGTAAATGCAATTACTTTTTTATAGAAATATTTATCATACTGTTCCTAATAACAAAAAATGCCCTTACTATAAAAAAATTGTGCTATAAAATAAGGGTATATGAGTGTCCAAAATAGTTGAACCTTCATAGAGTAAATTACATGTTTGCAACCATGAAAACCTCGATGTAAACCCTGATCCAATATATTTTGGTACTAAATGGATAGTGGGTTCATTTTAATCTAAAGGAACAATTTGGTAATTATGAGAGCGTGTAATGATCTCATAATAAACACATAAAATTTTAACAACTCTTTTTATAATTTATAACCGATTCATCCATTGTCCCATTCTTCATTTTTGGGAAAGGCTAAGGGGGACGGGGTTGGGTCAGATCATAGGGGAAACAATTCACTACTCATGGTAGGAATGAAACAGAATGAAACAGAAGATTTCATGTTGTGGCACCAATTACCCTGACTGCTATGCCTTATGTCCATTCCTATTTACTGAAGGCTAGATTAGTTTTAACCTTTGGATGTTTTGTTATGCATTTCCTCCCAAACCACTAAAGGAAGGTCTAGCTAACTACGCATGTATTTTTTGTCTAATACCTGTAGAACACCTGCCATGATGACCACCACTGAATCAGGAATGGGTCTCAGTCGGAGTCATTCACCGTCCGATTTTGCTTCACCTCGAGCCCACTGACTTCATTTGTGGTCAGGAGGGTCAAGATAGCATGGTCCTTGTGAGCTCCTTTGCCTAAAACTAATTCGGGAGAAGGGCATATTGGAAAATAGTTGATTCAAGAGTAGTTCATGTGGTTCTCAAGGTAACGGTTGAAGCCATCAGCTGGTAAGCCTAGGCTGAGGGCGATGAGCTCTAGCAATTGGCACATCAATTTTGAAGCAGCCTGAGTAAATTCCTTGCAGACTTTCCTGTCATGGAAAAAATTCAAAATTTATGCTATTTATGGAGAAATAGGTGTAAAACCTTATGAGGTTCTTGGTATTTTAAGGAAAAAAAAAAGAGAGAAAAAAATAGATGTCCTGGTTGTGTGACAAAACTTAGATAATAGCTTTCTCTACAAATTGGATTGACAAGAAATATTAAAGGTGTTTGTGCGCCCCTTAGGCTCAACTAAAAAATATAAAATTATTTAAAAAATAAAAATTGATCAAAATATCTTTGAAACATTTAAGAGTATTTTGGTCAATTTTTAAGTGTTCCTGAATGAGCCTCGTAGTTCCTTTAAATTCAAATTAAACATACTTGCAGAAATAATTATGACTGCCCATTTTCTTTTCTTTTCTTTTTTTTTTTTAGTATGAAATGCTTTTTTAAATATGAAATGCTGGGAGAGTTCCATGTACCCTTTAAATGTTCAGGATACTATACTTTCCATCTAATTTATTAAAGGAAAAAGTTTGTATAAGGTTGCAACCTTAACATGTAGAATTAAAGATGCACCTCAAAAATCCATCGGAACATGTTATTTTAATGTTGAAAAACCCTCTAATTGATCATCTCGACATCGAGATGCGTTAATATGAAAAAAGAAAAAAAAATTATTTTGAATCCCAAAAATAGTGCATCTTGCAACACATTATCTAGCCCGTCCATTTTCAAGATTTTCATATATTTATAGATCTACTTGATTTTAACATTTTTAGTATTTAAAATTTTATAATTAGATATGAAAATAGATTTTCAGATAATCCTAAAAATTTTTTACACAAAAATTTCGTATTACAATAAAATTTGGAGTTGCGCCTTAATTGGATTGTTGAAGGTTCCAAATATATAGAAACCACACCCTTGATGAAAAAAAAGAAAAGAAAATGTGCACAACTTTATACCGTAAAGGACCTGGAATTCATTTTAAGAAAAAGGAAAAAATATTTTTAAACTCAAATAAAAGACAAAATTAGCAATCCCAAAATCACATATGATAAAAATGTGAAAACTCACCAATATGGAACATCATGGATCAAATCCCAAATTTATATAAGTAATAAGAACGAAAACCAAACCTAGTCTATGGGCAAGCTTCGTTCGTAGGAAATCTCTATTTGAAAGAGAATCCCGGCAGACCACTGCTTTCGCATGTTTGATTCATAGGAAAGCAGACCGCTAATGGGAAAATTCTTTCTCTAGTATGGGAAAATGATTTCATACTTATTGTTGTATGAAATCGCATTCCCATATGTGGACTTTAAATATTGGAACTCTATTGTTGTATGAAATCGCATTCCCATATGTGGACTTTAAATATTGGAACTCTATTGATGATTGAAAAACTACGCAGATCCTCAAAAATAGTTAAGTATATAGAAATCTAAGGAGTAGGAACAAAGTTCTTCCAGAAGGTTTATATATGGCATCAACCTTAAATTATAAAAAGTAAGGCCAATGCCAAAAAGCCCATTGGAAAAAATTGTTCTGGTGCTGAAAAAACTTCCCATTGGTTATTTCAAT